CCCCCCCACCCATTAGATTTGACATGATTCCTACTCACATCTCCTGCTTTGTCTCCTTAGCCACACCGCTCTCTGGTAAAAACAGTGGGTGACAGATGAGGCCTGTTCTGGGTCATCATCCTTCACAGGCACCTTCATCAGCCCCCCTCTTGAAAAGAAGCCCCTGTGTGTACATAGTAGCTCTTGCTTACCGCATGTGTTGGGACAGAATGAGCTTGGTATGATGGTTAGAGCTTGAACTGAGGGGTCCCACAGACGGAATTTCAAATCCTGGCTCTACCCTTTAATTGCTGTATGACCTTGGGTGTGCTCTTTAACGTCAGTAAACTTTAGTTTTCGCAGTGTAAAGTGAGGTGATAATTGTAGCTACTGTCTGCTGAGACTGTTACGTGCAAAACTTCATATCTGGTCCACGGACAGCACTCAGTGAACACCCGCCCTTACTGTTATGCCTCTGAGCGAATGTTCTTGAATTGAACAACGATGAGGGGGTAGTGGCATTTCAGCTAAGCTCTGAAGAATGAGGAGGATTTGAAAAGGCAGAGGAGACTGGGAGAGGAAATTCCAGACACTGACTGTGCTGTGAGAAATGGATGGCGATCAGAATCCAAGGCCTCATTAGAAGATACTCGTTTTGTGGTTAGAAAAGGCTCACACAGGAGAGGGGAAGAAATCGATGATGGACCGTGAATTGTGAGGGGAAGCTAGGACCAGGTACTGTGGGGTGGTGCCTGGAAGACCATCGGGTTTTGGTAAAAATAATGTGAGAGTAAGGTAGGACATGTAGTAGTGGGAAGGGGAGGGAAGGCGGGAAAGCAAAGAGAAGGGGGACCTGATGGATCTCGATCATTCTTCCCGGTGCTTGGAGACCAAGCAAGGAATTCAGTTCTCCTTGAATCCATGCAAGGAGAGGAGTCCAGGAAGGTGAGATCCTGGGTTTTAGTGACTAAGGTATTAGTAGAATATCTGATCACTAATTGCCACTAACGGGAAATAAGTGGCAGGGGGAGAGATGATATTTTGAGTACTTCTTGTTTCTGGAATTAAACTGCCAGGTCCTCTAACGGGTAAGTACAAAGAAGATGTTCTGTCTTCGAGGAGCTTAGAATTTAGTTGGGAAGTGATAGAAACTGTAGCCCAGATAATATGAGGAGAATATACATGGCATAAATAAGAAGAAAGAAAGATCGAGGGTGTTCAAAAGAGGAAGGTATCTTATTTAATTTGGAATATCAGGAGAGATTCTGTATTTTGAAGAGTAAGTACAAATTGGACCAACGAAGTTGTTATGGTGGGAAGTTGTGCATAGCAGAGGCTTGAAGAGGGAACATCACACCTTGTGCGTAGGGAACATAAATGGCCAGATGGGCTGAAATGTGTGTTTGTGTGTGTGTGTGCGTGCAGGGAGGGGAGGGTCACTGCTAAGAAAAGTAGTGGGAGATCAGACTGGAAAAGTAGACTAGGGGTATGTTCTTTGAACATGAACTTGGTAGATACGAAGGATTCACTGACTAATTGAGGGGAAGGAGGGAGTGACCAGAAGCGTTCTTTGACAATACTGCACCAACCTCGGTTTGTTGTTCGTGTTGGACTGGGGAGAGATTGCAGCTGGGAAACGGGGGGACCCTGTCACCAGTCTAGACGGGAGATGGGGAGTCTGAATTAGGGTGGTGGAAAGTAATCGTGGGAGGCGTAGCAGGAAAAGGTAGTCTTTCTTTTGACTTTGCAGAATGAAATTAGAGAAACTAAGGCTCATAGGAATTATTTAGCCTCTAGTTGAGAAGAAGCTAGGAGTGATCTCTCGGCCTGCCCACTCACTGCCTCTTCCGGTGGAGGAAGTGTTCCCAGGGAGGTCTTGGCCATTCTGATGCCCCGGCTCCAGGGTTCCTCTTGCTAGAAGCTACCTTGTTGACACATGAGCTATTTCCCTGGTTCCTCTAGCGCTGGTGCTGAAACCTCCTTAGAACGGTCAGCATGTTCTGCTTTGTACTATAATTATTTATGTAAAAATAGGAGTCATCTCTGTGTTCCCCGCAGTCTAGGAGGACACTCTGCCTACTGTAGATCTGGAGATGTTTAGGAATTTGAATGATTGTAGCTGGAAGGACTTTTTACACAAGCCGCTCTGAAGTTGAAAAACATCTTGTTTACTGCAGCAAGGACTGTGGGTGCAGAACTGGTCTGAAGGAAATCAGCGGGCAGGGCTGGAGGATGGTTTGCCCTGGGCTTCACCAGCTTAAACATCATGGGGAGAAAAGGACTGAATCCCCACATTCTCTCAGTTTATATAGAAAGCCTTTTTGGAGGTAGTGTTTTTTTATCATCCTCATAGTCTGCTACTTTAATAAGGACTTCAATTTTTTTTAAGGGCAAAAAAGTTAAGATAGAAAAACTAATCTATGTGGTAAATCTCAGATTAAAGTCCTAGTTTTTGCCACTGAAACAGTCCTCTCCAGTGCTCACTTCGGCGTCACGTACACTAGATCTGGAATGATACAGAGATACATCCCTCCTCACAGGGATGCCATGCCAATTCATGAAGCATACCGCTCACAACAAAACGAAACAAAAAACAGTCATCTCGGGCGCTTGGGTGGCTCAGTGGGTTAAAGCCTCTGCCTTCAGCTCAGGTCGTGGTCCCAGGGTCCTGGGATCGAGGCCCGCATCGGGCTCTCTGCTCAGCAGGGAGCCTGCTTCCTCCTCTCTCTCTGACTGCCTCTCTGCCTACTTGTGATCTCTCTCTCTCTGTCAAATAAATAAATAAAATCTTAAAAAAAAAAAGTCATCTCCAAATCTGTTTTTGGACACACACTCCTATCTGTAAAAATTACTTAAAAAATTGTATTCATGCACTCTTATTCCCAGCATTTTGTATAATAAAACCAAAAAAAATACATTAAATTGTGCTACTGAAAAATAATTTTTGTGCTTTAAATGCACGAGATTCCTTTTCCATCAAAATTATTAATAATCTTTTTCATGAGAGCCATGTAATTAAAATTTCCTTGCTAGTTTAAAATTCCTGACTTGAGGGGCGCCTGGGTGGCTCCCTTGGTTAAGTGTCTGCCTTTGGCTCAGGTCATGATCTCAGGACCCTGGGATGGAGCCCTGTGTCTGGCTCCCTGCTCAGCGGGGAGTCTGCTTCTCCCTCTGCCCCTCCCCACCACTTGTGTTGTCCCTCTCGAATAAATAAAATCTCAAAAATATAAATAAATAAAATTTCTGGCTTTGGATGGTACAGCAGTTGGATGCTCTGTCTCTAAAGCTTGAATTTGGTGCTGTTGAATTGAAAAAGAAAACCCCACTGAAAGATTTGTCAATTCAGGTGGAAGAAACACATTGTCAGCTCCACTTAGTAACTCATGACTGGTCCTATCCACTGTGCTAAATTTTGGTTGTTGAAATTCAACTAGTACATCTCCATTTCCCATACCTCTAAATCACCTATTCTTAAAAACTCATCAAAGGGTGGGATGCCCGGCTGGCTCATTCAGTAGGGCATGCTCTTGTAGATCATGAGTTCAAGCCCCACATTGGGCATAGAGCCTACTTTAAAAAAAAAAAAAAAAAAAATCAAAAGGTGTTTCATGTTTTTAAAAAACAGATTTTTAAGATTCATAAAACTCTTCATTTGGAAGATTTTAAACAGTAGAAAACATTTACTTGTTTTTCAGATGTATAGATGATGAAGTTTTTCCGGGATACTGAGTATCATTTTTGGCAGTTAAAATTACATAACAGTGGAGACTGTTTCCCAGCATAGGACTGTTACCATAATAGTCTTTTTAATCTGTTATTGCACATAACTGGTCTCAGATAAACTGGGAAATACCACAGTTCCTAAAAGTGGGCATGTGAAACGAGGGCACTTTGGCAGCTCTCTGTGGGGGAGGGAGGCTCCCACTTTTTCCTTGGGATGCACTCAGTGACATGGGACAGGTCAGCATTGAACCAAGGGAGGGTGTTGATGGCAGTCGCAACACATCATCTGTAAAATGGCACTAGTGGTTGTGCCTCCTTGCTGGGGCTGCTGGGGGAGGAAATACGATGATGCGAGGACTGCTGGAAGCCTGGTGCCCGCTAAGGCTCTTCTCTCACCGGGCTGAGTGCTTAAGTGTCTGGTCTCATAATCTGCTGTCCCCTGGGAGGTTAGGTGTTTGGACTCACGCAGAGTCCCGAGGCTGGAATTGGCCTAGTGGAGATTTCTCTCTGCAAACCTTTTTTTTTTCGTCTTTTTTTAAGATTTTCTTTACCCGAGGGGTGCCTGGGTGGCTCATTGGGGTAAGTAAGCCTCTGCCTTCGGCTTGGGTCATGATCTCAGGGTCCTGGGATCGAGCCCCACATTGGGCTCTCTGTTTAGCAGGAAGCCTGCTTCCCCCTGTCTCTCTGCCTGCTGCTCTGCCTGCTTGTGATCTCTCTCTCTCTCTGTGTCAAATAAATAAATAAAATCTTTTAAAATCATTTTCTTTACCTGAGAGAGATGGAGACAGCACAAGCAGGGGGAGGGGCAGAGGGAGAGGGCCAAGCAGACTCCCTGCTGAGCTGGGAGCCCAACACGGGGCTCGATCCCAAGACCCTAAGATCATGACCTAAGCCTAATCAGGCGCTTAACTGACTGAGCCTCCCGGGCACCCCTTTTAAGATTTTATTTTTAAGTAATCCTACAGCCAGTATGGAGCTCAAACTCAGAACCCCAAGATCAAGAGTGTCACTTGCTCTCCCGACCGAGGCAGCCAGCAACCCCTCTGCAAACCTTAATATATAAAGTGACAGTGAAAACAGTGCACCTCTGGAGGCTTTTTCTTTTGCTTTTCAGAGGTGTTCTCAGTGCCTCGATGTCCAGCTCTGTGTGAAGTGCTAACACAGGTCACTTTTCATAAAAGTACTAATAATTTTGTTTACTCTGTCAGGAACGGCACCGAAACATACCAGCAAACATCTCCCAGGCCAGGAAGGAGAGCACAGACCCTATTTGGATCAAGTCCACCCCCTGAGCCTGAATGATGACTGCAGAGTCAAGGGAAGCCACAGGTCTGTCCCCCCAGGCTGCCCAGGAGAAGGATGGGATCGTGATAGTGAAGGTAGAAGAGGAAGATGAAGAAGACCACATGTGGGGGCAGGATTCTAGCCTGCAGGAGACGCCTCCTCCCGACCCGGAGATTTTCCGCCAACGGTTCAGGCACTTCTGTTACCAGAACACTTTTGGGCCTCGGGAGGCTCTGAGTCGACTGAAGGAACTTTGTCATCAGTGGCTCCGGCCGGAGATCAACACCAAGGAGCAGATCCTGGAGCTGCTGGTGCTGGAGCAGTTCCTTTCCATCCTGCCCAAGGAGCTCCAAGTCTGGCTGCAGGAATACCGTCCCGATAGTGGGGAGGAGGCCGTGACCCTTCTGGAAGATTTGGAGCTTGATTTATCAGGACAGCAGGTAAGAAGAGGTGAAACCAATTCTCTGTAAGTAGCACCTGGGTTTTAAGCCTGGAGCAGAGAGCAAGTTACAGTGGAAAGCTGGCACTCGTTGTCCTTGTGGTGGTGACTTTCTGCTCTGCTTGGATGCTGAAAGGTGTGCCGGCCTCCTGCACCTGCGTCCATGGGTCTGCTTACCACGTTTTGGTTTGTTTAAATTCCTATTTTAAAAGTGATTTACCCACAAGCCCACCCTGTTTGTCCTCAGGTGCCAGGTCAAGTTCATGGACCTGAGATGCTCGCAAGGGGGATGGTGCCTCTGGATCCAGTGCAGGAGTCCTCGAGCTTTGACCTTCATCATGAGGCCACCCAGTCCCATTTCAAGCATTCATCTCGGAAACCTCGCCTCTTACAGTCACGGGGTAAGAAGCAAGGTTTCATGTGGGAAAAAAACCAACTGGGTGGGGGTGCCCTTACTGTGTTGCTGAGGGCCTGTAGTTTAAAAAAAAAAACAAAAAACTGTTTTTTTTGTTATCATTATACATTATTGTCAGTATTACTAAATATGGGGAAAATCTAATTTACAGACCAACCTCCGGAGATAATGTTACTGAGAAGGTAAATGAAATGTATGTCATGAACTTGGGTGGACATTACATTGTTCTTGGAGTTGTTAGCATTTTGAATGTCCGGCAGATTTTTTTTTTTTTTAAAACACAAAATTGCTGGGAAGAGGTAATATATTTCCAGCCTGGGTTTTGAAACACTGGTTAAGATCATAAGTTACCTTGAAAAGGATCATTTTTTATTTTATTTTATTTTATTTTTAATTTTATTTATTTGTTAGAGATCACAAGCAGGCAGAGAGGCAGGCAGAGAGAGAGAGGAGGAAGCAGGCTCCCTGCTGAGCAGAGAGACCGATGCAGGACTTGGTCCCAGGACCCCGGGATCATGACCTGAGCCGAAGGCAGAGGCTTAACCCATTGAGCCACCCAGGCGCCCCAAAAAGGATCATTTTTTAAAATACATTTTATTAATGTATAAAAATGTAGTATAGCCTCTTTTTCTAGCTTTCAGAAATTTTAAACAGTGAGAAAAGGATGGAAAAAACATTTTGTTTTTGAGGAACATGAGGAGAAAAATCATTTCAAGGTCATACGTAAAAATCAGTTTAAATTTTTTTTTCCTTTCAGGGAAGTATTAACAATATCCTTAACTAATTTAGAAATCAAAGTAGGTATGTAGACTATCAGTAAAAATAAGAACATATTAAAAATCCCGTTGTTCAAGAAGCGTTGATAGAGGCACATTCCTCAACCAGGGTTCATTTGTGATGACATTTAAGGTGGGAATATTAGAACTTCAGAAAACATTCTCCTCTGTGCATTCTGGAGGAATCTATAAATCAGTGCGTTGTGATGATTGATCCACCACTGTCCATCCAGTCCCGCTCGTGTCCTGTGCAGGGTTTGGGAGGTCTTTCCATGCTCTACACGGAGGGAATCAGAAAATTGAAGAGGATATTGGTAGCTTTCATGCCAGATTAGAGCTTCCTGTCCCCAGCGTAGCAGTTTTAGAAACCCGGGCATGGACCGTTGATGCTTAGTAAATAGTTCTACAGGGAATTCAGCCATACGCCTTTACCCTCAAGTCCCTCTCAGGGCTATTCTTCCAGAATCTTTTTCCTAATTCTCAGAAGGTAAAAATGCTAACTACTTGGTCTTTCTGCACATTTTGCTTTAGCTTGTTTTATAACTATATGGCCTGAAATAGTTACAAGGTTTAGTAATCAGTTTCAAATTCATTTCTCTTATGTCTTTGCAGCTCAGTAACATCATTTGTTTATCCAGTAACGTTTCCAAATCTAATACAGCTTGGCAAGGGAAGATTTTAATTTTTGCAGTTTAAAATCTGTATAGTTGTTCTTACACATGGCAGTTTGTGTGTGATCGTCAGTCAGTGATTGTCTGATAGACATCTTGTCTTAGGTCAGTGTCGACCCACATTTCTGCGAGCTAGCAAATGTCTCATCGACATTTGAACCTTACAGAACGTTAAGTCAGGAAACTGTGGCTAAGCGAGGGAGAAAAGTAGGAGGACCAAAAATGGCCAGAAAAGACCCCCTCTTTGTGCCCTGTGTTTCAAGATATTACCACTAAAGATCGTTAACGCTCATGTTATATTTTCACAACTGAATGAGATTGTGATGCTCTGGTGCTGTTCCTTGTACTGGAGAAAATTAAATGGTGAGCCAGACTTGAATCATGGACCGGAAGTTACCCACTTCCGTAGATAAGGAAGACTAGGAAGCCGGGTTGTAATTCTGGCTCTGCTGCTCTTAGCTGTGTGACATTAGGCAAGTCATTGACTTTCTAGGTGTTTGGTTTCCCCCTCTTTAAACAAAAGGGATTGGACCAGGTGATTTTAAGGACCCTTTTATGACTCCTGTGACTTGGAATAGCAGAGGTCATACTTTCTCTTCGTTAGCTTCTCTGCAGTTACCTATTCTGTAGTTGAACACTGAACATCACACGTGCTGGGGCAGGAAAGAGAGGCCCCGGGCCCTTCTTGGAGGGGAGGCCCAGAGCAGAGCTGGTTTTACTCACAGCTCCTTTCTCCTCCCTCAGCTCTCCCTGCCACCCACGTTCCTGCCCCTCATCACGAGGGCAGTCCCAGAGACCAGGCGATGGCATCTGCACTATTCACAGCAGATTCCCAGGTGAGCGGTGGGCCCCTCTGCCTTCCTGAGACCCTCGTGTCTGCCTCTCTTCCTGGAGCTCTTTTAGCTCCCTCCACCCTGGACACCATCTTGATGCCCTTTCCCACAGAGTGGCCCCAGTCCCGCCCTCCCCATCCACCAGAACCTGGCATGATCACCTTTTCTTTCCCAGCATCCTGTAGGTTTGCAGTCAACTCTGTCCCTGACTCCCAAGTTTGGGTGATGGGATTGTCCCTGAGCTTTTGGAGAACTGAGTGTGGGGATCTCATATTATTTCAGGCAATGGTGAAGATCGAGGACATGGCCGTGTCCCTCATCCTGGAGGAATGGGGATGTCAGAACCTGGCTCGGAGGAATCTCAATAGGGACAACAGGCAGGAGAATTATGGGAACGTGTTTTCCCAGGGTAAGACTGATGCAGGATTATTGTCAAAGATTGTTTTACATCTTCTTTTTTTTGTTAGTTGTGGGATCTCTGATGTGTTCACTTGAGAGTTGACAAGGATTGAGAGGCTACTGAGGCCCTTTTCTTCAGGCTAGATAGAGCGGGAGCACGTTTGTGTTCACTTAACCCTCAGAGGCTGATATTGTGAGTCCCTGATTCCAAGTGGATTTTTTACTTTTACGTAGTTTTTGCTGTTCGAAATCAGAAATACTCTTAAGTTCTGAGTTCTCACCTCTTCAGCCATTCTTCTCCAGTCCCCATCAGTTGTAGTATAGGCGCCTCTGTCAAGGGGATGGATTCTGTATTTCCTATTCTAGAGGTCCGAGTGAGACCTAATCATCATCAGTCTAATCCTAACCTAGGACCGCATTCTTGGACTTAACAGTCATTCTTCCATGGGCTTTCTGTCTTCTTCCATCCCATGCGCACTGCTCCCAGGCAGCTTTGTGTTAACTCATGACTTGTCCCTTACAATTAGGATTCCCCATTTCCAAACCTAATGGTGATCTTCTACGGAGAAGTCTGCTCCTGGGCGTGTAGTAAGAACAAAAACAAGTTCTCAGAGGCACCAACCATATAAGACAAGGTGACACAATTGACACACATTCCCATTTGTCCCCTTCCCTCAGTACCCGGAAGATTGTACTGCAAAGTAGCTCTCAAATGAGTTGTGTCATGGGATGTCCATAGTGAGACTTCTGCCTCAGGAGGACAGAGGGAGGGTGAGTGAAGGGAACTGAAGAAAGAAAGTTACTAAAGAAGCCTCAGGTTTTATTTGGAACCATAGACCTAACCGAGTGGTGGTTTCTTGGTACTTGCTCTTTGGACCAGATTCTGAAAATTAAGCCAAAGAACTGATATGTGTTTCTGAGCTAGGTATTACCTACCCCATGATAACTTCAAAAAGCAAACACTAGTTGCAGACAGTCTGGGAATTATCCCAATAACCAAGGACTTTGGCTTGGAATTCAAAAGAAGTGGACTGATTTCCTCCTCTTATGACTGGTTCGGTATTTCCAGTGATTTCATCACTAAAGTCAGGGCGTAGATACTACTCAGCTTCCCGTGGTTGCATTCAGGGGCGTCTGTGGGGTAGTGCAGGCCCACCTGGAAAGGGCTCTTAAAGCCCGCTAAACAAAGAATAGAATTGTAGTAACTTGGGTTTTTTCCTAGATAAATGTGAACAGCTATAAAGTAGTGCATGTGCATTGGACAATTTTCATTCTCAATTTAAGAATAACAACAGACTGAATCTAACAGACTGCAATAAAGCTGTATTTCAGTGTTTTAATGGGCTGGTTTAATGACAGGATCAGCTTTGCATTTGTAAAATTTGGGTTTTTTACATCATCTCCTTCATGGGCCATACCCAGAATTGTTTTCAGTTTCTTTTCTGTTCTCGGGTGTTCTCCCTGGTCTGTCAGTGAAGGTGTTAGTTACGTTTGCTAATGCCCCAATCAGCTGCTTCCTCAGCCTCATCTCTGACAATGGCACGCTAGCAGCTCTGTGCTACTCTCGCTGGAGGAGAGAAATTCCTGTGTCTGAAGACTACTTACTGTAACTTGCCAAGGCCAGAGCTCCTGTGCTGTCCACTCACTGTGGACTTGTTAAAAATCTCACAGAACCAGAGTATTCACTTTTCCTTTATTAACTATGTATATATCTTCCTTTGTGGGCTAGTACCACTTACTGTTTCTCTATTTCTCTCTATTCCCTTTGTTCAAACTCATATTTAATGTTAGAAACAGAACATGATTTTTTTTTTTATGTATATTCCTTCATATTAATTACTGGATGATCAAATCCTACAACTGTGAATTGTGACCTCTTATGTTACTTTTTTCCTCTCCCTTCCTTCCCTAACTTGTTCTGCTTCCTCTGGTCTCCCCCCCCCACCCCCCTCCCATGTGTGCATTCCCACCCTGTCTCCGAGCTCCCTCTGCTGTCCTCCCATTCAGTCCGCCCTCTCCTTCCCTAGCTCTGCTCCCTGTTGTCCTGGTTCATTCCCCTGTTTTTCTCCGATTTCATCTCTGACTAATACTGCAAGGTTATTTTGCAGGCAAGTAGAAGCTTCCGGGAAAACAGTGTCGGTTGATTAACCCACATATTCAAAAGAAAATGGTGCCATTTGTATTTTCTATTGTGTCAGGTTGTGAAAACAGGAGTGAGAATGAGGAGTCAACCTCAAAGGCTGAAATCGCAGAAGACTCAGTGCCACGTGGGGAGACAACGGGAAGATTCCAGAAAGATTTTGGAGAAAAACGTGAACAGCAGGGCAGAACAGTAGAAAGGCAGCAGAGAAACCCTGAGGAAAAAACTGGAAGAGAAAAAAAAGATTCGGGGCCAGCTACGGTCAAGGAAAAAAAAACCACCGCGGGCGAGAGAGGTCCAAGGGAGAAGGGTAAAGGTTTGGGAAGAAGTTTCAGCCTGAGTTCAAACTTTAACACCCCTGAAGAAGCTCCAACAGGAGCAAAGTCCCACAGATGTGATGAATGTGGTAAATGCTTCACAAGGAGTTCAAGCCTTATTCGCCATAAAATAATCCATACCGGAGAAAAGCCCTATGAATGTAGTGAGTGTGGGAAAGCCTTCAGCCTCAACTCAAACCTGGTCCTGCATCAGAGAATCCACACAGGAGAGAAACCTCATGAATGTAACGAGTGTGGCAAAGCCTTCAGTCACAGTTCAAATCTCATTCTCCATCAGCGGATCCACTCTGGAGAGAAACCCTATGAATGTAACGAATGTGGGAAGGCCTTCAGCCAGAGCTCAGACCTGACTAAACATCAGAGGATCCACACGGGGGAGAAACCCTATGAATGTAGTGAATGTGGGAAAGCTTTCAACCGAAACTCATACCTTATTTTGCATCGGAGAATTCACACCCGAGAAAAGCCCTATAAGTGCACTAAGTGCGGCAAGGCCTTCACGCGGAGCTCGACCCTCACTCTGCATCACAGGATCCACACCAGAGAGCGGGCCTCCGAGTACAGCCCCGCCTCCCTTGATGCGTTTGGCGCCTTCCTGAAAAGCTGTGTGTAGAGCGAGAGTTCCAGAATTCGTCAACAAGCCATTTCCCCCTTTTGTTTCCCAAACTGCTTCAGAGACGTGTGCCCACGGAGGGGAAAAAAAAAGAGGGCCTCAACAGATTAAAAGGAAAAAAACTCACACTTCAGGATCCTTGTAGTTCCATCAGCAGTGTTCCGCCTTTGCATCATCCGGTGGGTGTGTAATCCTCCCACACAATCCCTGCAGGGAAAAGCTAGTCTTTTGGAGAATCCACACACTCTTTCCACACAAGATAAAAGCACACATACAGTCAAACGTCCAGCTTTTCAGTAATGAGGATACCTTTAAGGCGCTCTCGGACTCAGCAACCACAACATAGAATCGAAAGATTAAGATTGGCTCCAGGAAAGCCATACTGGGGTTTTTAAAGCTGCTTTCTGCAAACAAGCCCTACTTGGCCAACATCTTGGTGTACCTTATTTCTCAAAAAAAAAAAAAAAATGAGGAATCGCTAAAATAAACTGCATTGGGACATGCTGCTCAACCTAGTTATATATATGATAAGTTATATATATGATCACTGGTAGCCTGCCAAAGCTATAGAAATCTAGGACTGTGCTGATCGGTGTCAAACCAAAGATTTCTAGCTCTTCCTGAAAGAGGGTATGTGCACCAGTCTACAGTTCCAAAGGATCGCAACAAATGTAGATGGTTCTATCCTCGTCACTGAGATAAATCCTCCTGAAACGGCAACAACGAACCCTTCTCTCCCTTCTCGAAATCCCAAAAGCACTGTCGCACTCCGAAATGCATTTCTCCACAAGTTAGCGCTTGATCGATGATAGACTGTCTTTTAATTCTCCGTTGTCTCGTGTATGCCAGTTTTCATCACGCCCCCTCCCCAGAGAGATGCTTCGATCGTCAGGGGATTGCTCTGTATCCTGACAGCACTGAACACATGCTGAACAGGGAAGAGGCACTTCAGAAGTTCCAGCAGGACTTCTACACTTCCGGTGAAGTCCTGTGTCAATCGTGAGTACCTGAAGTAGGGTAGCCTGGCCCAACTTGTGAAGCCGACCTTCGGAGTGCAAGCATGCCACAGCTCCAAGGTCTGACGCTTTTTGTCCTGACTACAAAAGAAAGCCACTGGCTAGCTGCCTGCATAGACTCTTCTGCACAGAGATCTGTGAGTAAATACCACGGAATGTCAGAAATGACTCTCTCGTCATCTTCAGAAAAATAGCAACTGTTCCTAAGGCCGTGTCCTGACACCTTTCTGGAGCAAAAATATCTTAGCCAGAATTCTCTTCAGTCAGCTGATGGACAACATGATCATTTAGGCACTTTCTGAATCCTTTGTAACTCAATAATACAGTGCAAAAATGTGATTTTTTTTTTTTATTGCTTTTCAGAACAAGGAAAGGTGTGGAGTGCGTTTTTCCACCCCCATACTTTCCAGAAGCTTTGCAAAGGTATTTGATGCCATTAGCTGGCAATTACTGTGTTCATTGCTCTGAGTTCACTGACAAGCGACAAGCTGAGATGTGGTTGGTCGTCTCACACTTGGACTGCACAGGGTCTTCTCTGTTTCTAATCCCTGAAGACAGAGAATAGGGGGAGGGGCTGTGAAAGCAGGAAGAAGCCACCCGCCGCCTAGAAGCTAATGACAGACGGTTTTCGGGTACACACCCGGGGGAGCCAGGAATCATGGGTGACATAGGCAGCCCTCAGGGCCTTGGGTGGAGAGGTCTCTGCCCTCGAGAGCGTGTAGATGATGGTGGACAGCCCCGCGGGAACTTAGAAGCAGACCAAGAGCAGACCCGAAGACTCTGCCCCTAACCAGAGAGCCCCACATAGAGTTTGAGTTTATCCCTCAAGAAACAAAACTGTCGCCCTCCACCAGCTGTTCGCTGACCGACCACTCGAGCCCAGTGGCCAGCCGGGCTTTATGGGGAGCCAGCGAGTGGGGGCAGCTGGGGCCTCAGCTCCAGACCAAACTAACATTCTGCGCAGCAGCGAGTCTCTGGCCTGTCTCTGTGACTGGGACCAACCGCGACCTGCCTGGAGCTCCGGAACCGGTCCTCCAACGTTGCCTGCGGAAGCGTCAAGCAAGTCCGGCGGCGGAGGAAGAGCTCTGAAGGTGTGCTGCGGCCAGTGAGCCGCCGCGGAGGGTTCGCTCGCCCCCGCCGGCTCTGCAGCCGCGACTCGCCCCCGGGAAGCCCTGAGAGCGCTGAGGCCCCTCGGCCCCGGGGACCGCGCGCAGCGCCGACCGTTCTGGAGAGGCAGGGGGCCCCGGCTGCTTCCACGTGGGCCTCTCTGGAGCCACAGCCGCGCGCTGGCCTCACGCAGCCTTCGGCTGTGTTTTAGAAAGTTCAGCGCAGCCTGCGCCTCGCGTTTGTCCCGCGCCAGCCACGGGGTGGTCCCCATGGTTGCCCCGGGTCTGTGGCAGGCGAACTCCCTTCAAGCAGCCACCCGAAAACGCGCTCTTTGAAGAAGCCAGGCTCCGGCTGTTCATGAAAACCATTCACGTCGCGTCCATTCCTCCGCTGCCCAGTGCAAAGCGTAACTGGGTCATGGTCAGACGGACTCGCCTCGGCTCCTCGGCGCCGGGACGTTCAGAAGCGCGTGACCGGCTGCAGTGTGTTCACAGCTGAAGAACTCCGTAGTTAACCATTAGCATGCTCGTTGACCTAATGGGAGTTTTTGAAGGTTCTTCAGAATATACCTTATGAAAGAAGCCTTGCCAGGACGAGAGGTGCAGTTCTTCAGATTGCAGGGAATTTGTTTCTGCTCCGGCCTGGCAGGCAAAGCGACAGCCTGAGACTATAGACCTCTGAGGCATCCTGATTAGTAAGACCCTTAGTATTCGATTAAAGGCATAAAAGTGAGACTGTGCAAAATTTGTACAGAGAGTTCGCCGTGTTTGACGTGTGTGACAGTTGACATCTCACATACATCAGAGAATTCATTCCAGAAAGGAACCTCATGAATGCGATTCGTGTGGCAAAGCCTTCCATGCCATCTCAGCCCTTAGCATCAGAAAGCTTACGCTGTAAATAAACTTTATTAATATTGTATGTGAGGGAAACTTTCACGTATACCACTCATTGCTTCGGACAGAAAATGAATTCCGTCAGTCTGTTCCAATCATGTGATGACTTTCAGAAACACTGCAGAGGAAGCTCGATCTTAACCCCAGAGGATCCACAGAAGAAGAAAAAGAAGGAAAAAAAAAGTGGGGAAATGCTAAAAAGAAGGCAAAAATTGTTCATGCTGAGTACTTCTGTATATTTTGTATGACCACAATGTCCGTATCCGTGTTTTGTACCTCTGGCCCTAGTTGTTATTCTGTATATTCCCTGTAGACGGATAATGTATTTTATTTTAATCTATTTGACAGAACACATCACTCCAAAAGAGTAGAGTTTTGGAGTGAGTAGTGAAGGGGGTGATGGTGGGTGTAGACAGAAAGTCCGTTTACAGACCTGAAGAGGGGGAATATGAGAGAAAACCTTCATAGTTTGGTGCTTACCAAATCTGGATAGGAGATTAGGAAGTTTCCTTAGGAGAGACAGGTTAATAGGGCCCTAAAATGGAACGGTTCCTAGAAACATCTGCAGCTTCTTGGGTGTTTTCTCTTCAAAGCCAGAAAGCAGACCCCTTAGCTGCCAGCTCACCATTCCAGGCAAAGAAAATGGGTTCTCTGAGCTTCCGGGGGGGAGAGGGGCTTCTCCATGAATTGAGAGTGGGGAGTGCCCTGGGAAGGCCAGTGGGACCACTTAACCTGACCAGACTGTGGAAACCATAGTCCTGCTTCCCCTACTAACTCATCTTCATGCTTAGGAAATTTGGGATAGCAAAGCAGCAAGATGGGCCCTTTCCTGGAAAATGTGCACGGATGCATCCACTTCCTGGCATGGCAGGAAGTTCTTCTGACAAGGCTGGAGAAGCATTTTTGTATTCCCTTTGGCTGCGCTCCTGTGTACCTTCCCTGCCCCCCTACTCTCTTCCCCGGCTTGTTCCTTCCCCACGACTGTTGAAAGGCTTGTGAAGATTTGTAGCTGTGAAGGAATTTTTTCCTCCTTTTTATCCTAGAGTTGATCGCCTTTTCTTCCAGGGTCCGGTCACCCTGAAGTCCTCATCAGAAGCTAGCTAACTAGGTTCATCCTACCATCCTCATGGAAGATTGGTTATGCGAATTGGAGTAACAGTATTAAAACGTAGTCAGACAGTGACAGCAATACTTACCAGAGGGGCCATGGTTTTGTGTATCCCACTCTGAGCAACTTCTCAGAAATATTTATGAGGGGGCTGGGTTCCCCATCTGGGAAACCAAATGAAGGTCTGCAGATTGCAAAGTGAAATGTAGAATCAGAAGAGGAAATTAAGTGGTATAAATAGATCTTTTTATAGAAGTTAGAGTAGATTTTTATTTCAACTACTACTGGAGAATTCAATAAAAAGCATTATTTGAAAAGCTTTCCTAACATAGGTTTAGGTTTTGTTTTTAGAATGGACACACTACTGTACATTTAAAAGCAGTTACTTATTTTGCTACTCAAATTAATTTTTTATTCTATCTGAAGATGAAATTATCTGTTTTACTTTTCAAAGCTTTGTAAAACAAACTTGAAGTTCTAGGGAGGCTAAGCCATCTCCAATTCTGCAGGTCACACAAAAGTTGGAGAAACACTTCGAACGTCTCATCCGACAGAATGTCTTAACGTGAGAACATAGTTTTCATATTGTCTGGTCCTGTTTTCACAGCGGATACCACAAACCTCATGTTTTTCTCTTTATCCTGAAACAGTGGAAGGTAAGGAGAGTCATTAGGTTGACTTCTAAGCAATGTTATTTCAACAGCTTTAAAAGAAATGTCTTTAAGATTTCTCCCCTCCATTTAAAGAATCATGGCTCATCTAAGAGTTACACAGTGGTCAGCAGAGCTAATTGGTCCTAAAGTTAAACTTTCTCCCTTCCACAAGCACTCATTAAGCAGTGAGGCTGAGTGTTTTAAGGTACTGGAAAAAAAAAAAAAATGAGACCTGTGAGTGAAAGGTGGCATTAAAACTCGGATTTCATTCCGGTTTCAGATTTGGGTTTTAAGTTCCTTGGGTCCAGGGAAGGGACTAGGCAGCTACAGGCACCCCGACTCAGGTGTGTGGGTCTGTGCTCGCTTGCCTTCCCACTCACCTCAACCTCTGAACAGTTTAGGTAAGGTTTCTTTCTGCCCTAGCAAGGACAAAGCATGTTAGGCTTAGAGCTGCTTCTGCTAGTAGCCGGGGTTCTTCCGTGAGATCAAATAGATGGGGGGGGGGGGGACAGTGGACGGTGATTGTGCAGGAAAATCTTGGTCTAAAAATAATATGAGTTTAAGGGGGGGTCCGTTGCAAGGAAAATCAGCGATTATTTTAAAATGAACATATGTATTTTTATTAACTTGTAGTTAAATATAGATTATTACAACCAGGTCGACATGATAAGCCTAAATCTATCTAGAGAGCTAACTCAGGCATTGTCTTGTTTATCTGTAGACTGGGTAAGACAAACTTTTCCTGTGTTGTCAGTCCCTAGTTTCTTAGTTTAGAATAGATTAGACCAAAAGAAGAAACTCGTCTTTGTATACCTGCGAATTAAGTTATTACTGTTGAAACCTGGCCTTTCATTTCACTAGTCATAGAAGAGTCCAGATGCTTGGTAGATGTTCAGTAGGTGATTTTTAAATTGAATCTGTTCATTTAAAATCCTCATTAACCTTTCTAGGAAGGCTGCTTTGAGTAAATAATGGAATCTTAGAGGAAAAGTGGTTTGTTTTTTAAAAAGCTAGGGGACTCCTCTATTGGAAATAATTTGAAAACTTGATGGAGGACTAAAGTTTCCATCACGAGAAATGGCAGCAGATTACCATTTACATGCATTTATAGTCAGTGGTCCATTTTAGGAGGCCGGCGGTGTCTGACAAATGTTAGAGCAGATGGGGAAGGAAATTGTGGGGAATTGTAATAAATATCTCTTTATGTCGTTTCTCTTCTGGGTCATGGTAAAACAATAAATTATCACCTCTAGGTGGCAATGTTGGTGGCGTTTGTTTTTTCTCACTCTTGGTTGCATAAATGCACACATTTTGGATGAGGCAAAAAACCCACATAATTTCAAAGGTAAAAACTGGAACTGTGACCCGCAGGCCCTCCTCGCGCAAATGAACATATTCTCCTTCATGCGAGCTTCCAAGTTCTAGGTAGCTTCTCGGAAGGGGGCAGCCAGATCAAAAACGCTGGAGTAAATAGCTTTCAGTGATCCCCCACCCACATACAATCTTCTCAGAAGATGGAACCGTTAAAGTAAAACCTTTGACCACTTTATGAAACTCAGAAAAATACAGAGCACCCTAATGGTCAGCCTGTGATCTGATAGTTCAAACTTGGACATTGACCTCTCACCCAATAACCTGCTTTTGTTATTGCATAATATAGTGAGACAAACTCCCCCGATTGTTTTTGTTACTTTGTCTTATTTAAATAAATGATTTATTCGCCCTATTTAGAGACCAGAATCAAGGCACAAAGTGTTCTATCTGCTTTGGTTTCAGGGTCCTGAAGGAATACTAACTACCCGGCTTGCTTTCTAGGGCATTAGTGGAATAAACCATTTTTTTTAAAGATTTTTTATTTATTATTATTTATTTGACAGACAGAAATCACAAATAGGCAGAGAGGCAGGCAGAGAGAGAGGAAGGGAAGCAGGCTTGCTGCTGAGCAGAGAGCCCGATGCAGGGCTCGATCCCAGGACCCTGGGATCATGACCTGAGCTGAAGGCAGAGGCTTTAACCCACTGAGCCACCCAGGCGCCCCTAAACCATTTTTTTTTTTTAACTTAAGTAAGTAAAAGGTGTCACGTGGGGGGAAAAAAAGTATTTTTCTGCGTTGATCTTCACAGTTCAGGGGAAGTTCACCTTTTCCTGGGCCACTGTCCTGGCCTGGGCCCCCCCAGAGAGCAGAACCTAAAGTGAGGGCTTGTGTGCATTAGGAATTGATTCCAGAGAACCAAAGTGAGGGACAGGGCGGGCAGAAATGGGGAGAAATCCAATATGTTCTTGAACTTGGTCACTGCTGTGGAGGATGGGGCCCGTGGCAGATTCCGGCCCTGAGCTGATAAAATCAGCCTTGGGGTCCCGGCTTCCCCCGCGTGCCGGGGCAGGGCAGAGCGGCTGGACTCCTCCAGGAACCGATTTAAAAAAAAAAAAAAAAAAAAAA